AGGCCCTGCTGAACCAGTGGCAGACGTGGTTTGGTTGGCACATGTGAATGAGGTGGCTCTAGTACCAAAATTGTAAAATTACCAACAGTAACGACCAAAAAACTTAAATCTATTAAAAAAAGAATTAAAAAAGTCATATATCTTTGCACGGTTCTTGTCAATCACTGGAAACATCTGTGCAAACTGCCTGGGCTTTTCCTGCTCCATGGAAGCTGAACAGCCAGCTGACTGCCCTCACAGCTGGGTCTGATCCAGGACCTGATGGAGAGAGCAGGTGTAACAAGGGTGGTAATGACCAAACAGCTGCTGCCACTAGTTTGCTGCAAGGGGAGTTGGGGGTCTCAGCTGTGCTGTGCTCAGCTAGATAGTGACCTAGAGACCAGATTCCTCAAGTGACTAATTCTTGGTCTTGTGCTTTGCAGACTCTGTCCCAGGGCCAGATCCTTTGTGTCCAGCACCCAGTGCAGCTCTTGGAGGTAAGTGTTATCAAGGTTGAGTGGAGTTGTGCTTTGGGTGATGGCCAAAGACTCTTTAGTCAGAATCTGTGTGAGCTATGAGAACAAAAGTGTTTTGTCCTGAACAATGATTATTTTGGGCTCTTGATGGAGTTAAAATGTGTCCCGTGAAGGTTCATTTTGCTTCCTGAGTTCCTGGGGAGAATCTCCAGGGAGATCCTATGAATATCTTATTTGTAAACCTGTTTTCTTCCTCCCCTACTCCCTGCCAACACCTACTCAAGAAATACATTGTTTGCTTTTTTAATCTCCTCTGGTAGCCTGTGAGCAGTGGTTGGCTGCTTTGGCCCAAACTGGCTAGAAGATGCACGTGTAGACAGATACTGAGGGAGAGTTGGCTAGAATTGCCCCAAAGTTTGTGTCTGCTATCAGGTTATGTCTCTCTGCTCGGGTGAACAATGGTACAAGACAAGCAGGGTTTGACATGCAGGACGGTGTTGTGGATCAGGGAGGATGCATGGTATGGATGGGTCTGGAACACAGCCAATGATACAAGTTTCACCTGTGGTGATAGAAGAGATTTGGGGGTATATATGTCTGGCTGAGAGCCACAAAATGTGGCTGCAAAGGGACCTATGATGTGTATCATGATGTTTAAGCTTATGCAGCCCTTACTGGGGGGGAGTCTTATATAGTGGTGTATGTATGTAGTGAATTAGAATACAGGCATACATTCAAAATGACTGGTTTTATGCCTTAGTTATCGGTAACTTTGAAGGAACATCCTAAATTCTTTCCACAGCAATCCAAACTGCGGGTGTTTAGTTCCCATTTGTCACCAGCATTTCTCTGATCTCTGCCTAGCTATGCTCATAAAGTGCCTCCAAGTATGTTTACAAAGATGTTTACTCTCCAAACAGTTCAGGCTGGTCATTCTGAAACTACTTAAGGAATGTACCTGACAACTTGAGTGGAAAAATATTCTCTCAATGTAAAAGCCTTAAAGAACTGCTGTATAACATTGGTCACAGTGTTCACCAAAATTCTGAGTCTGGACTGAAATATTTATTTCAACTCATATTTTTGTTTGTGTAATACTTTGTGTAGTATGTAGAAACATTAAGTTAAAGCCATGACACTAAATGTTAAAGACTCAGGCTTCAAGACTTTAAATCTGGATTATCATGTCAAATTCTAAACAATTTGTCTACAGAAGTAAAATATTTTTACTTTGCAAGCCAGTAAAGAATGGCAGAATGATGTCTATAGTTGTGTTAGACATCAATGAGAACAAGTTATAAGAACATAGCAACAACTTAATCTGGAACTGTAGTTACTTGTTGCTATATTTATATCAGATTAATAGCTGCATTTTAGGAACCTTTCTGAAAAGACAGTAAAGAAAGAGAGGATTGAGACATTCAGTTATAAATTATATAAATGTGATGAGTGTCAGTTCTGTATAATTCAGAATACAAAGTGTGTGACTACAACTGTTTTCATGCTTTGGTTTCTAGGCTGTTCAGAGCAAAATATTTTGCTTACATGGTATTGAGTAGTTTGTCTCCCTGACCACTGTAAGCACCTTTATCTCCTGTGTTGCTGTTTGCTAGTCCTAATGTCATTGTTGACAGAGAACCAAGAACAGCCATAGGGGATATACTGGCAAAAATAGTCTGATAGCCTGGTTACAGATCTTTATTGTAGCTGTTGAGATGCACCCGTTCAATAAATGTAAATAAATTGGAGAACATGCAGTTTTAAAAATGGTACATGTATTGCGTTAAGGAGAAACCATCCAGAAGGTTGATCCAGGCTACAAACACTTAAAATGAGGTTATGTTTCTAAACTGAAACAATTCGGTAACTTTAGAACTTGCAAAGTGAACCAAACCTTTTTGGACTGTATAATTTTTTCATCTGGAATTACATCAAATATAAAATCAAGCACTTTTTTTTTTTAATGAAAGGGGAACAGGATGTTTACATGTTTTTGGCTTTTCAGGACCATTTGATGTGTTGCATTAAAGCTGCACAGCTGAATATCCACAAGTTTTGTATTTCTTTTTGTAGTACGTTTTGTTCATATAAATGATAAAAGTTCAGAAATGTAAAGCATTGTGCCTTGCCTTCCTTCTAGGGAAAGCCTAAAATTTCTTGCCAAGCTCTAGCTTTTCCATCCCACGTCTTCTATTTTCTAGAAATTACTTTTTTTTCCCCTTTGTAATTAACTACACAGTTGTATGGAGGAGGTAACTATTGCTGGCAGTAAGGCTTACTCAATATGTAGACACAGCAGGCAAACACCTTGTAGCCCTTTGGCTGAGTATCAACACACCATTAACAAGCAGACAGCTTGAAAACTCTGCAATAGCAGAGCGCATATTACAAAAAAGAAAGACAGCTTTGATCTGGCCATTGCCTTTCTTAAAATCACCCTGTTGTTATGCATAGCAGAATGGTCACCTTTAATTGGTCATCATACCTAATCTTGGTCCCCCTTTATAGAGGGATGGTACAGAAGAGGAATTCCTGAAGTACATGTTAGTTATAGATAACCCACAGTGTGTTTGTTTTGGAGGAAGAGCAAAGGAAGGAAACGGACTTTTTTTTTTTTTTTAACTTTTCTCTCCTCATCTGGAGCAAATGAAAATAGTATGAAATGATGAGGGACCATCCAAGGTAGCTCTAGGCTGTTTGTGTGCAGTTCTGCTCCACCCCGTATACAGTCTATTTTTGTTGTTCCTGCTGTGGTCACTTGAGACAGGTTTTAATATAACTGTGTCTTGGAATGCTTGTTACTGCATCTAGAGATGAGAAAAATCTGTCTCCCCTCAGCAGCCTTTGTGGATAACAACAAACAGGTACAACATGCCCAGGCAGCGCCGGTTAGAGGGAGAGAGGGAGGGAGGAAAGGAGAGGGAGAAGTCAGATGAACCTGGTGTGCCAATATCATTTGGATGGCTCTGGATGAAAGTATTTCTGTGGCTCCTTACACAAGTTACTGAGTACAAGCATTACTTAAAAAGTAACTATAGTTACTAGAAGAGTATTATAAGCATGCAAGTTTAAATGGTCCCGAAGGGCAAACTGCTAAGACTTTGGTACAGACCTCAATGCTGTTTTAAAAGACTTGTTTTCAAATCTTTACTAATAACTGTGAAATATGTGGATTGTAGTAAGCCTACTTGTAATTAGTCTGGGACCCTTCCCCCTTATGGGTCCTTTAGTGAAACTGTAGGGCAGTGTTTATGTCAGTACAGTTTTTGCTGTGGCAATGACTGTGAAGTGATTGAACACTGGATTAAGACTTCGAATGAGTTGGGCATGAAGAGCAAGCAGGGGAAGACTTTATTAGCAGGAAGTGTCTGGAAACCTAATTTAACAAAATGTTTTGTTTCCACATTAGATGCACGTTTCTGGTGCGTTTTCTCTTCTCTTTTGATCAAGGGTGTTTTGGACTTGAGCCAAAGACTTGTCTATACATGGAGTTATCCTAGAATAATTACTATGGAAAAAGTAGCCTGGATTAACTCCATGGGGGCAGGGTATTGTTCCAGAAGGAGTTATTTGGAGTATCAACATATCTGAGTGCTCTGTCTCGACTGCTCTTTTGTCACTTTCTCTGGAATCTCTTGTGTGAGAAGCTTCTCTCCTCATACCCTGGATATCAGTAGAACAACAGAGTATTGTCATGCTGCTTGGCACTCTTGAAGTTTCAAAACCTTGCATCCACTTCCCTAAACCAGAGCACTAAACCATGACCCTGTTACAAACAGACCAAAACAGCTCTCTCTCTTGGGTAGATGAAGTGCGTTAAGATATGTGTGCAAATCCCCTTTTGGAGTTATGGGTGAAAGTGTGAGATAAAATGATCTGGGACCCAAACCCACATATTGTTTTCAAACAATTGTAAGGTAGGCATAAGAAATTTTCAGATCTGTTCAGATAGGAGGTGCTGGAGGAGATTGTCCTTAGGTGCTGTCTGAAGAGTCAGGAAAACAGATACATACGCACCTTTTTTTTAACTTATTTTTTCCATCTTTTCCTCACAGGTTGTTTTGGATAATACAGACTAACCATGAGAAGCACCAGAGCAGTGGGGTCATGCAAGCCATCTCTCTGCATCAACCTCAGAGCCTTTCGGCAGGGTGTTACGCACAGGGCCAGTGCCCTGACGTACCCCTGGGGGTCACCCAGACCCGCATCAGCTCTCCCCGTGCCCCGTGGGGGGTCTCTGCCCTTTCCTCACCTGCGGCCGTGGCCCGCCCGGCGGCGCGGCTCTATTTTCAGGTGCGAAGAGCAAAAGAAGGCCCGCGGGGCTGGGGAGCGGCAGGCGCTGTCTCCCCCCGGGGCCCGGGAGGCGGAGGCCTCGGCTGCCGGCCCCCGGGGGACATTTTGTGCCGGGCCCGTGCCCGCCACCCCCGCGGCGGGGGCGCGGGGGCCGGGAGACGGGAGCCGCCGCTCGGGGGCCGGGCAGCCCGCGGCGGGGAGGGAGGGAGGGGCGGGGCGGGCTCGGCTCCGTCACGGCGCGCGGGGCCGGCGGGGCACAACGGGCGCCCTCAGCGCGGGGAGCGGCGGCGGCGCTCGGCGGCAGGTTCCCGCGGCCGGCGAGGGCAGATGGCGGCCGCGCTTCTCTTCTACCTGCTGCTCCTGCCGGGGCTGGCCGGCGCCTTCAACCTGGACACGGACAACGTGATCAGCCGGCGCGGGGAGCCGGGCAGCCTCTTCGGCTTCTCCCTCGCCATGCACCGGCAGCTGCAGCCGCAGGAGAAACGGCTGTAAGTGCTCTCGCGTCCCGAGCCGGCCGCGGGGAACCTCCTCCCTTCCTCCGCCGGGAAACTTCCCCCGGCGACGGGCCGGGGTGCGGGGCCGCCGGCCCGCACCTGGAAGCGGGGCCGAAGGGGGGAGTCCCTCGGAGGGACGGGGGGCGGCACCTGCCGCGGCCCGCGGGGTGCTGCGGCGCCGCAGGCCGCCCGCAGGCAGCGGAGCGGCGGGGACGTGCCGGGGAGCGAGGTGCCGCCCCGCCCGCCCCGGTGGCCTGCGGGGAGCGGGGGCGGCGAGCGACAGCCCCCCGTTGGGAAACCTTCCCGCCGCAGCGCCCTCCTGCGCGGGCCCCGCCGGCCGCGGCTGTGCCCGCGGGGCCCGGGCGGAGCGGGGCGTCGGCGGGCTGGAGCCCAGGGCGGGCTCCGGGGCCACTGCCGACCTGCTCCGCCCGTGCCCCGGCGCTGCGGGTGCCTGTGCGGGCTCTGGGGTTGGTTCTCCCTGTGCGGACCCGGCCTCGGGTAGCGCAGGGGCGGCTGCTCAAGACGGAACCTGCCCGGGAGCGCAGGTGGGAGGTGGCACAAGGAAGTCGCGAAAAATAAATCGGTGTTGGTGGCGTATGGGTGAAAGCTAGGAACTTCTTTTGAGAAGCTCAGAAAGCAAAGTAAGGCTCCTTTGTACGTCTTCAGGATTCTTGCCGCTTCGTGACTGTATCTGAGCAGTACCTGACCCCACCCTATCCAGCAGTACTGGATGGAGTGTCTCTTGTGTAAGATACTGTCATTAAATAAATGTTGCTTCCCAAAATATTTAGTTTTAATTCAAGGGGAGACAAGCCTGTAATCCATACAGAGTTAATGGGAGAAGGAAGCTGGAAAGAAACCGTGTGCTTCATAGTTAGCTGCTAAACTTACTTAAATGTCCTGTGGGCCCATTTTGCTCATGCTTGCATTCTGTGCAATTTCATTGAAATTACAGTGTGTAAGGGAGGATAAATCACAAATACCCACGTCCTTTCTTCCATCTAGTAGACAAAATGACCCATGTTATCCTGAAGAATGAAATACAAATCTGCGGGCTCCTTTTCAGAGGCATTGATCTTAATTCTTCACAGGATTACTCTTGCATTGGTCTTGTTTTAGTTGTACTAAGCAGTGCCTGAAGCTTGTTAGTTTCCCATTGTATTGTTAATACTGGATGAGCCAGTGTGTCAGAATATGCAGAGACAGAAAGCCAATTACTGAGAAGTCAGTAGAAACACAAGAGCAGTCACAGTATTCAAGCTAGTCTGTAATATTTGGCTGAAATGCTTCAGAGATTATTAGCATGAAAGTTCTGTATTGTACGTATAGTAAGTGCTTCCTCAGGCAATCCAAGTCTGGGACAGAGCAGAGCCAGATGCCTTAACATGGCTCTCTGAATCTAGGCTTTCTTGAGAAGCAAGGGTCTCTAATAGGGACAAAACCAGGCTAGGGAAACTGCATTTTATGGTGATGTGCACTTCTGAGGCATCTTGGCCATTTAAAAAAATCTATTAATGAATTTTAGCATAAAGATTGAGTGCTACCCTGGGTAGCTACTGGGTAATACTCTTGGAATGAAACCGTTTATGTCACATGGTGATGTTATAGTCACATTGAGCATCTTTTTTCCATCTGTAAGAGTAGTAGTGTGTGGCTGTAAGAGAACAAGACATTAAACATGCTGAACTATCTTTCATAGGGACAGAGGCACGTTTAGCTTGCTTTGTGTAAATTCTGTCTTACAAAACAAATCAGAGTTTTGGTGGGGAAACCTGGAGCCTCCCACGTTAGGCTGCATATTTATATCAGATAAAAATGAGCAGTGTTGAACTAAACCCAAATGGTTCATGTGGCCTGTTCCATGGAAAGCACGTGCAGCTTCTAAATAGCTTGACTCTTTATAGGTAGAACAGATGGGTTCTGCTGTCCAGATACTTGGTGAAGGTGGAAAGTTATGGGAATGCAGGTCATACTGAGGTCTCCTACTGTGAAACAAGTATGTCTAATGCCTGTATGCTGCCCATTATCTGTAACAGCAGGAATTTTAGTAGTTTGTTCTCAGGGGTGCAATACCTCTTAATTCCTAACTGCATTTTGGTCTGTGTCTTACCTCCACTGCAAAAGTGGTTTTATGTGCAGCTATCTCTTAGTCAGAAGTATTTATTTTACCCCTTATTCTCGAATGGTTGCTAACTTCAAAGCTCAGTTATGGTTTGAGCGTTAACACTGTAAGTAGTTGCTAAAAATACACAAATCCCATTTCATCATTGAAACTTAATTAAAAGTGACATCTCATCTGGCAAGGACCCCCATTACAAAGAAACCTGCCAACCAGAGGACCCCCTGCCCCTCGGATTTTACAATTAGAAGTGGATTGTAACAGGCGTGCAAGATCAGTCAATCCTTAGAAAAACAAGCAAATGAGAGAAGGTGAAATATATTAATTCTGCTCAAGGGCTGTTTAAGTCTGTGGCTTGGAGCAAGGCTTGGTAAAACAAACTAAATGATGTGTAATTTTTCTCTTGCCTCACTTAAGTGGTTCTTAAGTGAAATGGTTCCCTCTTCCTCATACCGGATAATTTAGTGTTAAGCATTGTGAAAATCTTATATAAAGATGAGGGTGGAGAATGTCTAGAAAGTGTGACAAATAAAGGTACAGCTGAAATAGCCTTTGACTAAACATGGTATTTGCTTTTGATCACCTATTTTCTTAGTCACAGGATACCGCGGATTGCGTATGAGCTTTGAATGGCAGTCTTTTCATTTACCAGTGTTAGCTATGAAAGCCCTGTTTGCTAATGAGGAATTACTTGACTCCCAACAATATGGGTAGATGACTGTTCAGCTGCTTTGACTTTAGTTACAAATGGTACTGAGTATAAGGCTGTGGACTAGTAACAGGATTTTGGTTTTCTTTGTGACTATCTTTCTGTGAGAAAAGTTTGAAAGTTTGTCAGTTGGAGGAGAAAAACTTTATTAATTCACAGTGACTGAAAATGGACAGCTAATGGCATGTGGGTGTGAAAGACAGCTGAACACAATCTTAATGTGTATCAGGGGAGCATTGACATTGGAGGTACTACAGGTAGCCTGCCCCAATTTCTGTGTCCAGTTCTGATTCATTGTCAAGCACAGTGAATCAGTTAGCAGAAAAGGCTAGAGAGTGGAACTTGTTGCCCTGTATAAGATTGTTCTGTTTTTAATCTGTCAATATGATGAAAATAAGGGGTTCTGGTTCTGTGAGGGGCTGGTGACACAACAGCAGTATATTTTGTCTGCAAACAGGAAGAAAGTTGGCAACTTGGAGGGGCCTGAGACTCAGGGCCAGTGTAGCTATAGGAATAATGTGGTTAAAATTTAAGTAGTCCTGTGATGGAGAACATGAGTGTATCTAGCATCTGTAAATGGGGACGACACTTGCTATATCTATATTAGCTATTATATATTCTAAACATGTTACTATTATAATAAATATGTTATTACAACCTACTTATTATATATATAGTGAGTGCAGTCACATGTATAATTTTATATGTATAGAATATATATAAAAATGATATGTATGTATACATATTCCATGTAAGTTGCCCAGCAGGTCTGTTCCAGTCCTTACTGATTGTAATTCACAATGATTTAAGCAAATACCTTGAATTAGAACAGAAGCTCCAAGAATACCTATATTTGTGTATTACTTTAACACCAGAATTATTTGCAAGTATTTTCAGTAGAAGTATGCAGCTGAATTCATGTAGGGTTATTGTTTCTAAGGCAAAAAAAGGATGAGGTGGTAGTTATCAACATTCAGGATCTTCTCATCAGCTGGAAAGCTGTGTGGTAGAAAGCTGTGGATAGGCACTTTATGTCAAGATTGCACTGACCATTAGCAGCGACGAAGTCCTAAAAATTGCACTATCTTACTGAAATTTTTACTTGTGACAGGTTTTGCTGATACTGCATATCTGTGCTGTGAGCTGTTATATACATAACAAAGTTGCCTTAGGTCAGCAGGGCTGTACTGCTGCAGTGCATCCTCAGTGTTATTTAGCCAGTACTTCTGTGTTGACTGAGGGCTTGTGCTCACAGACACTTTGCTCCAGCAACAAAAGAGCTGGATTATGCTGGTCTGCAGTGAAAAATAACAATTTTTGCTTGCAGAGGTGGTGTACAGTAATTCAAGCTTTAGATGTACTGAATTAATGGCAGTGTACATTTACATCTCCAGGATTTAAATGCTTTAATAATGCTGGTCTTTAGTGCTGTTTTCAATTTTAAAAAAAATTTTTTTTTTTTTTTTTCAAAGACTGTGTCCTTACTGTCTCTCATTGCACTTAGTATTTTTGAGTGTGTCTCTGTTTTTGTCTATGCAAGCTATTCTTGGATAACCTGCTTAGCATGCTTGATTACTTCTTAAATTTGTGATAGTAGAGGAGTTTGTTTGTATTTGAGATAGATGTCCTGTGACAAAGATCAGGATAAAATGAAGTTGGGGAGGAGGAGGGAATAGTAGTTTAAGAGTTCTCCTGTAGTGGTGAGGGAAAGATTTTTAAAAAGATCCATTGTGAGTGAAATAAATGAGAAGAGAAATTTACATTGCAGAAGGGGGAAAGAATGTGGAATTGCTGTAGGTGGAGTTAAACGGCAGAAGGCAAACTTTTTCCCAGGGATAAATTTGAGTTGTGCTGTGGGTTATCTGTGTCAGAGACACAGCTGACAGGTTTACAGATCAGGTATTCAAAAGGTTGGAAACTGTCTTATAATAGTCAGCATCTGACTCCCATTCTTGCAGTTGAAAAAAAAGAGGTCAACATAATTTTTTTTGTTGTTGGTTTCTTTTGTTTTCCTCAAAGGAGCCGGAAAGAGTTGTGCACTTAGTCCTGCAGAACTCTACTAAGGCAAGAAGGATGAAATGGAGCATTGAGCTGATACACAGGAGGACATTGCACTAGTGTAACCACTTGCATAAATGTAGAAAAAGAGCAGACCCTGCAAGGCAC